ACTTTCTATACCATATGCTTCACACTCCAAGACTTCTAGCGTCCTGGCCAAGGTGATTATCTTGTCAAGAGACATCTCATCTTGCAAAGCACGACGGCGAACCTTCTTATTCTTCCCTCCCTGTATGATTTGGTGTTTAATTTCGACGTCTTTGGCTTCTGCGTCTTCAATACCACAGTTATTTATCAGTTTTCGTAAACGAGTTACAAACTGGTCAATGCTTTCAGTGTCATATTGAGTGGCACGCCGAAATTGATAAAATTCGAACTCAGTGTTCTTTTTGGGAAGAAAGTAGTCTTCTAATGCTTTAATTAGTTTCTTGTAAGCGTTGACATATTCAGGTTCAACGGGCATGGTTAGCATATCGCAAATCTCGATTAAGTCGTCGCCACCTCGGTCCAAAAGCATAGCTCTTTTCTACTCTGGGTCAGTAATCTTCCAGGCTACACAGCTGTTTACACAGCTGTTTTCAAAGCGTGATAACCAACGTTTCCAACGTGGTGCTAATGTACTAGTGTCCCCATGGACGTCAAACGGAGATAACTGGGAAAGAATGAAACCTGCTTGTGCTGCCATAATGAACACCAGTCCAACGAAATACGAGTGAAATTTCGTAAACAAGTGCGTACAACCTGATGTCTTCTACTGAGAAGTAGTAGTTTCTGTTGGGCTCACAATCCTCGTCGCCAATGTAATATCTTGAGACGTCCGTATAGCATTTGGCAGGGAGATACAAGAGATGAGACACGACACACACTGAGTGCTGATAATACTGACACGTGTTTATTCAAGTCCAGGCTTTATATACTTGAATCATTGTTACATAATAATAACACCTGGTCTAACAGGCCATTCATATTGAGATCACTACAGTTACCACCATGGAAGACTGGTATACCACCATGGAAGATTGGTATACCACCATGGAAGACTGGTTACCACCATGGAAGACTGGTATACCACCATGGAAGACTGGTATACCACCATGGAAGACTGGTATACCACCATGGAAGACTGGTATACCACCATGGAAGACTGGTATACATGTACCACCATGGAAGACTGGTATACCACCATGGAAGACTGGTATACCACTATGGAAGACTGGTATACCACCATGGAAGACTGGTATACCACCATAGAAGACTGATATACCACCATGGAAGACTGGTATACCACCATGGAAGACTGGTATACCACCATGGAAGACTGGTATACCACCATGGAAGACTGGTATACCACCATGGAAGACTGGTATACCACCATGGAAGACTGGTATACCACCATGGAAGACTGGTATACCACCATGGAAGACTGGTATACCACCATGGAAGGCTGGTATACCACCATGGAAGACTGGTATACCACCATGGAAGACTGGTATACCACAACATTCTGTACAATCTACAGCGAGTGTGTATATTGAGCAAATTGTGCAAAATCGAGTGATATTATTGCAATTATATTATACCAACTTCATTTAAATGGAATCTGAGACATGTAAATAACTTTAAAGCATTAGAAACTATATACAAATGTGCTACAACACCTAAAACATTCTACTTACAACCTTGGTAAAATAAAATTGGGCCCTGGACTAGCATATACAGGGATTATAGATACATCATGGGTGAAGCAAATTTGCACCCATAGTTTTGTGTTAGCAGCAACGTTGACAAACATATATAATTGACAGAATTTCAATGAAATACAAATTAGAGCCATATGCCCGATTGCATTTTGAGGTTCGACAAATTGTCAGGGTTCACAAGTGAGCCACTGTAGATTTTGCATAATTAATAAATTATATTTTTCATGGATCTCTTTTGATCTCCAAATACCTAAGAATCACCAGTTTTTTTATAACATTCCATGCCCATAATGCAAAAATACATGTACTGTGTGTTACTCATTTTTGGAGCCTACTTTTAAATGTGGCTTGCATAATTAAAAATACATTCTTGACCAATCAGAACAATGTATTTGGAAATTGAAATGCTGCTATAGGCTTTATACTTTTCATAATTCAATACCAGTTATGAAAGACTTACATTTGCCATGTGTCAGTTTGAGGCCCCCAATAGTTCAATGCTTCTAAAATATCCTCTCATACTGTGACGAAAATACGTACTGTTTCCTCTTCCTGGCTACTTGTCATTATTCACACTTACACTGTGATCCTTTGCTACACAGAAAATATTGTCATGACTGCATAAATAGAAATGTAACTTGTTTTCTCTAGAATAAATTCAGTTAACTTTAAAAATAAATTAAAACACAAGCCAGAAAAGAAGACCCCCCCCCCATTGTAAATGATATTGAATCTTGTTGAATATTACTATTGAAAATAGTATTTTAGCTTGCAATATCATAATTTGTTTTCGTTCTTTTATTTATAGAGTTGCTGACTTTGAGTACACACCAGAGTGCATCGTATTTGACTTACTCAATGTGCATCTATTCCATGGTTGGTTGGTTGACCCTCAAAATGTGGAGACAGTCAACGTGGTAGGAAACTATAGTTACAACCAGCTAGTAGAGCAAATCATTGCCAGTAAAAGTGCCAAAAATTCAGATGATATACATAAAGGTAAACTCATATATCAAAATGTCATAATGTCTGGTATTGGTGGTTTCTGCCATAGGACATACATGTATGATACATCTACTTGAGGTGTGCTTTTAATAGAGGGAATATGGTACTGAATAATGTACACAATAACCCTGGGTAACTGAAAATGATACTCTGCTTGGTGTACT